TCATCATAACCAAAACCTTCATATTCTTCATCAAAATCTAAATCACCAACTACATTTAACCGGCCTGAGTGATTGGGAATCACATCTTCATCTTCATTGTCTTCAGACATCAAGGCTAATGCATCAAGGTTATTGTTGAAGATGAGTGAGGGGACTGGGACTGAAACATGTGGTGGAGTTGTTGGTTTGACATGACCAGCGGACAATTGTAGAGAACTTGAGCCATGCTTTACAACCAATCCGAGTTTATGAGCAAAACATCAGACATGATTGTCTCGTGAATTCCATTTGACTGGGTCCTCACAATCCATGGAGGCCTTCTGCATTTCTCGAGCCATCAGGAAATTTGACAAACTGGAATCAGTGGTTTGACCTATCATGTAATCAACCAAATAAAAAAAGGTTAGTTGAGGCTGATGAATAGATAAGTTTCAGAGAGAGAGAAGGAAAGGGTGAAAGGAATGGAGACTTATCTTCTTATGTAAATTGTTTGCTGTTAAGAATCGTGCAACTGGTTGTGCAAGAAGATACCCTACTTTATTCCAAGCAACAAGTTTAAGTGTGAGGTGGACCGATCAGTACTTCCAATCTTGATCAATGAAATTAGCCAACATGCCAATGAAAGCATACCAGTTCCCCTTCATGGTCCATACATCATGGACAAGCAAGAACTTGCTTGGATTGTCCTGTCCGCAAGCAAGGTCAGTTCTCAAAAACAAATTGATATATCAGTTAAGGCAGAATGAGACTTACATGAACTAAAGCCAACGCTGCCGACTGCAAAGTGCAATAGAGCTCTTTGCTGCACTAGCTGCCCAGGTAGGAGTTCTCAAGACCGCTTGTTGATTTGCTAGAGTGAAATCCGCACGCAAAGGAATGTCATAGAACCTGTTGAAAGGGAGAGCGTGCCAGAGGATCCACACCACAAGAACCGTGTTGCATAACTCAACGCTGAAGGTGGTCTGGGAGAGGAAGGCGTCTAGAGTAGGTTGACCGTTTGCTTCATTCAAAGCAATCATTGCTTCAGACTGCTCTTGAGCCCAGCTCAAAGGCAGCTTGCAGCCCGCCTGGATGGCTCAGGATTGATGAGGACAGGCCGCTCGTCCCTTAGCGCCGTCACAATGGGCGTATAGGTTCCAGTTTGTACGGAGACCCCGTACAAAAACACCACGACACCACCAACACCTATAAGCTTGAGGGCCGTCACCAGACTTCGAAGAGAAAAAAAAGAACACAAGAGTAGTATTGGGCTGTTTGGGTTGGTCAACTAGGAGATTGAGACTTACTTCACCAGGCAGATGATGAGGAGGACAGTAAAAGTCCAGGAGTTCCTTAACTCATCGCATTTGAAGACGGCGAGCCCCAGTGTCAACATTTCAACTGAGGATTCTTCTTGATTGACATCAATGACATCAGGAACAGCCTCAGTTGGTTTTGGCTGTGTTTTAGTGGGTGGAATGATAGGATGTAAAGAAAAGAAACAGAAAAGTGAAACATAAAGGTGAGAAGAAATGAATAGGAATCCAATAGGTAATAGACAACTTACCTTTCAAGCAGCCCGCTTCTTTCGTCTTGGAGGTCCTTGAGACATACCAATAGATGCACCCAAGCCTCTGGGACGACACTTGGCCTTCTTGCTTGGGAAGACAGCCTTCTGGCCTTTTGGGCTTGTTGTCAAGTCGATGATTGGCAACTCGGCTTCTTCTTGGTCTTGGTCTTGGTCTTTGTCAACAAAAGTTCACCATCAGAATTGCCACAACTGCTGACAATTTGGGATAGACCCGGTGCAGACTTGGTTTGATTGTCATCATCATCAGGGCTGGGACTCGGAGGACAAAGAGAAGATACACGCAAGTTGTTGGATTGAAGAACAAATCCAGGCTTAGGTTGAGTTGGGGTACAAGGACGAAGCATTGGACCTGTATGGGTAGACGGAGTAGCAGGAGGAGCAGTAAGTAACGGAGTTGATGAAGGCATCTTGTGTTCTGACTAAGTAAAAATGACTAAGTAAAAACAGGAAGGATGGGTGGACAATGATTTGTTAGTATCAATCAAATATATTTGAGTGGAATCAAATTATTGGCCTGAGGAGAAAGAGGAAAATGAAAAACAAGACAGCACATAGCTGATTATATAGGCGTCCAGCTGGCAGAGGTGGCGACAAAGGCCATAGAAATCTTGTGACGTAGGTCAAGACCCCAAAAATGCCGCACTGATATTGTTATCTAGAGGGCATTTGATGCAATCAGCAAGGTTATTATTTGATGTTGTTTGGTATCAATCAAAGTTTTAAAAAGAACTTACCCAAATAATCAACATCCAGCCGTATCAGATGGTATCAGGCCGGTGTTGTTTACAATGGTATCATTGATTGGAATCGAATGGATCACATGGAATAGCCTAATCAAAATATGAGTCAGGTCAAAAGCTAATCGGATTGTCAAAGAGGTCACAAGGTGTGTTGGCGAGATGAAAAGATGAATCTAATTGTGTTAGGGTCACTGCTGCATATCGCTTTGAGGTGGTGTCCCGGGGCGGTCTTGGCAGTCGCTCAGCTACATACGCAGTCCACTACATGACAGCCCACAAGAGGGTATCACAGGCGGATCACCAGGCCCCAATACATAAAATTTTCGCAGCGGCAGCGGGGCGGTCCGCCCCGCTGTTGCCCCGCCTGCGCTTTTTGCAGCGGATTGCTTCAGGTGTTGGTAGAAACCATCCCTTTTGGTGTGAGTAAACCCATCCATCATTTAATCCTGAATCACCCTTGTGAATTATTCAATAACAATTCATCCTTTTAGCACAAGAACCCTAGACATCCTTTCTTGGCGGCCATCACATGCCAAGGAGATCAGTTTTAGATGATCAGTTACTAAGTTGGGTTCCCAATCCACCTTAGTAGCTTGAACTAGGATCACACGTGTGTATTAGACAGATCATCATTAAACAAAGCTCTTCAGGATCATCTTCCAAATTGATCCGTGAGTATTTGTTTATTGAAGATTGACCATCTTCTGAATACACGTGAATAAAGAGAAATATAGAAACTTTATAGAGAAAGTGATAAGTAAAGGAAATAAGAGAAATGAAGCACTACAGTTGTTATCACCAAAGCTCTCGGACTGGTTTGGCTGGGGCCGGCCCTGGTCCGACTGGCCAAGGGGTTCAAACAACACCCACTTTCACCAAAACAAATCAAAAATTTGAGGTTTTTCACCAATTTTGACCTAATGTTTGAATTTTTTGTGGGTTTTTCAGCTATATTTCTGACTTAACCAGAATGTTAAGTACATAGCTAGTTATGTAAAGCCATGAAATAGGCCTGTATTAGGTGTGCATCAGGCTCAAATCAGCCCGCGGTCCGACTGGTTGGGGGTTTAGATCAACTTTTTTTTGCAAAAGTGGCTGTATAGGTTCATGAGTACCATTTCATGGTTCCTCTACACCTGAACAGTTAAAAAATGGGCTTTTCAAAAAATATTGTGGCATAAAAAACACCAAAGTACCAGGTCAACTGCCCCAATTCTTCTTGCAGGGAGCCAGTCAGAGGGCTTTGGTGATAACAACTGTATGTGTATTGTGCGTTTACTTGATGATTACATGTATGTAACTACATGTAATCCCTTGTTACAAGTTCTTTCAGCTTATTGCTACATGTAATTGATTGATTACATGTAGTTATTGATATGTAATAAGGTTTGTTTGTGAGGAAGAAGATATACTGCTATGGCTGTGTATGCCCTTCCTGACAGAGGCAGACGCGGAAGACATTGTGAGATGTTCAAAGTTAAATCTGAGCCAAAACGGGCAGCGCTCACTGGTTGACATTTTCTGCAAAATAAGAAGAATGAGTGAGTAAAATGGGACAAGTCATGATTATAAGAAGAGAATTAAACAAATTAAACTCCAAAATTGACCAATGGTCTCATTAGGCAGCACTTGATCCAGGACCATATTTCCAAAGTATTGGTCAACCTCATCCATGTGGTCAGAGGGGGCCTTGGTCGCAGTGTTTGAGAAAAGTGCATAGATATGACCTAAGGTCTTGACTTTAGGGTGTTGCATAAGGCACGCTGGCGGCCCTGCCTGCCCGGGTGCCCCCCTTTTTTTTTTGCTTGATAAACAAACAAAATAATCTTTTTTCTTTCAACAATATATGTAGGCTCATTATAGATATTCTTGATGTGTTAGAAGACTAATCTAGCCTCCAAACAAATTTCTATACACACATAATGGCAATGTAGGTCAAAATCATTGCATTTGACCACATTTTTTTGTACCCATAGAGCATTGAAAGTCTGCCCCGGTCGGCGCTGTGTGATTTTTGAGGGCCCTCGGGTCTAGCTAAGGCCGGACTTGGCCACGCGCCGGCTCTGAACTTTCGCGGTCGGCTCACAGCCCTACCTCGGGCCATGACAGGCACTACGGATAGTAATGTCCAATACCCAGCGCCGTGGTCAAAGGCTTCAAATTCAATGCATTCTTGCCTATAGAAGTCACACCGTACTCCGAGTCTCCTACTACCCTCTGAATGCTGAATGACTGATCAAATGCGATAAGAAATGTCAAATGATAGTTCGACTTCGACTGATTCACTCTTCAGTCTTTCAGATTCCGACTCCAACTCAAATGAAGATCAACAAGATGAACGTCCAGCAATCTATATCAATCCATCATCACCATCATCATCACCCATTGTTCAAATCCAACCAATCTCTGGATTATATTATATTCCAAGTTTCATTGATGATGAATTCGAATTGAGCTTACTTAATGAAATCTCAGAATCTAATTTATTTCCATCAGCTGATGAAAACCAATTAATGTATTTCTCAAAACCATTGATCGATTCATCCACTCAATCATTTTTAAATTGGCCACCATTTCTCATTAATCTGATCGATCGACTTCCCAACTTATTCAATCAATCTAATCCATCTAATCTAAATCAATTAAACACTACAATCTTCAATCCATCCAAATCAAACTTACCTTGGCAAATGATCTTAAACCTTTACAAACCACATCAAGGTATCAAGCCTCATGTCGATTTACTAGACAGATTTGATGATCTGATCATTGGAATCTCATTAGGTTCGAGTGTGATTATGGATTTCGAAAACCAAATCGATCCATTCCAATCAGAAAGGGTTTATCTTCAAAACAGATCTTGTTATATTCTTTCAAATCAAGTTAGGTTTCATTGGTTTCATGGTATCAAATCAAATCAATCTTTCGATTACATTTATGATCCATTAGAAGAATCAGTTAGGAAAATTCAAAGATCTCGTACTAGGATTAGTATTACTATTAGAAGATTAAAAGAAGGGGCTGAAGTCATTGGTGATGATTTCAATAGATCTTCATCATCATCTTGATGGTCTTTGAATCCAAACCAACTCAATGTTTCCTTTGGCTCATCCAAGTGGCTGTTTTTCTGAACCACTTTTGATCATCATTAAAATCTTTTCATGATACTTTCTTTACTTGTGATTTATCATTCTCATCTCTGACTTGCAATGTATTCAATTCTGTGTCTATCTAAACTAGGACATTCAAGTTTCTGGAGAAATTAACAAACACATCTATACATGATGTCTGACATGTCTCTATCTCTCTTATCTTTAAAAGGAAAAGAAAGTAAAGAATAGCTTTTCATCCTCATCCCAAGAATCTTACTAATTCAAATCCATCATCAATCCTTTTCTTATGATCAGAGAATTGAATCCCAAAGAACTACTAATTTCAACCAATATCTCCAAACAATGTTGTATCTCAATGTTTTTTTTCTACAAAATCAATTAGTCCACAATAAAATGTATCAACGTAGCTACAATCCTTACGTCAACTCTTGACTTCCTCTCTTTCTTTTTATCAAGTATAACAAGATTTTCAAAACATCAGAAGTTTTACATTCTACAAATTGATTTTCTTCATTTTAGATATGTATGTATATATATACTTAAGAAAGTAAGATATTTTGGGGTCGAAATGCTTTAGAAATATAACAAAAAAAGATGATCGAAAATGTAGAATAAAAGAACGAGACCAAAGAAAACGATCGGATGGTTTGAACCAAACCCATAACCCCATATCAACCTCATGATTTCTTTTTCTTTATCCTATTGAAAGAGTCTCCAAAGCACATCTGAGTATCCCCTACAAAAAAAGGTCATTTGGATCTGATCAAGTGACTTTTGAGTTTGATAGGTAAAAGAGATCTAAGAAGTTTAAGATCGAAGTCGAAGTGAAGCGGTTCAAAAGAAATGGTTATGATGAAGTTGAAACGATTTGAGAAGAACCAGGGGTGATAGACTGAAAGCTTGCAGAAGGAGCCGGTTCATCTTTAGGTTTCAGTACTTCTTCATCTGCCCAAAGATGGTCTCCAAGTAATTTCTATCAACAAAACCAAGTCAAACCACGCTCAGTCATCGAAAAGTAACGGAACCCTAAAGAGACACACAGAGAGAGATGCTTACATTCATGGTAAACATATGAACTGTTTTCACATTAAAGACCGCCTTCATCTTTTCATCACATATAATTTGTCGTTTGTCTTTCGGATCCTGTAAGTCATTTGCTTTAATATGTTCCCAAATCTTTTTAACCACTTGAGGTCTCGAACACTATTAAGATCCGTCATCGAATCGAATTTTGATATAAAGAAGTGAAAGGAGAGAATTCACAAAATTGAAAATCAAATGAGCTTTTCTTTAGATCAAGACTTTGAACTTTTCGAAAACATTCAATCCGAGTTTCCGAAACGTTCATCACGTACCGTTAAGACTCCAATCAGATCACCTAGAGCAGGTGAACAATTCATTTCTTTATGGATTCCTTTATTAGACGAATTAGGTTCAGCAGATTCGGATTTAGGAGCTCTAGGTTTTCTAGGTTTTTTGGGTTTAGATCCTTCATTCAACTTTGGTTTAGGTTCATCATCTTCACTCTCTACAAACGCTGCACTCTTTCTTTTTCGGCTTTGTGATTTGATAGGTGTAGGTTTCGATTTACTTGATGGTTTGATAGGTTGAGAACTTCGTGGGATCGAATAACTTAGGACTTCTTGTGATTGGCTTTGAGATCTTTGATTTCCTCCTGGAATCCCTCCAGACGGTAAGCTTAATCCATAGCTATCAGGTCCAAGTGCTGGTGCTGAATTAGGTGTCAATGGTAATTCTTCTTCTTCTGCTTCTTCTTTTTTGATTCCATTTTGACCTTCAGCAATTTCTCTTTGTACCTAAACCCAACATATCAAATCCGCAGCAAAGATTAAAATCATCATCGAGAAACCATCAAAACAGAAATGATAACTAACTTCATGAAAGATTGGAATCGAAATCCCATCGATTTCGGTCTTGTAAAGCTTTGTATCTAAAGAAGGAAAGATCGTGGTAAGATGTCTTCGGATTTGTTTTGCACTAACTAATTGTAAATCGACATCTGGTTGGTTTAAATATGATCTAACTTCAATAGCTAGAGTGGATGGTAAGCTCATGATGTTTCGATGTTTTGATGTCTGATGATAGTTAAGTTGGATGTGATGTTGATGATGTGAAGGTGAAGGTGAAGGTGAGTTTGGGTAGGAAATGGAAGTTTGATGAGGTTTGATGATTTTCAAACTGGTTCAAATGTGAAATGGCAAATGGCAAATGGCAAACTCAGTAACACAACCTACAATACCACATCATCCTACTTAATCCCATAAACATCAATTCACACTTCCACTTAATCTAACATCCATCATCATCCATCATCATCTAGTCTAATGCAAATAAAGAGTTTAGATTGCATACTTAAACCACATAAATGGACTTGAGATGAGCTCTAATATATGTAGAGAGCTTCAGACTACAAAACAAAGTGGGAGAAAAAAATATTGAAGATCAAAGACCAGGCGGAGATTCCTGGTGTTTTTGTTCTTACTAGGAGATATCATTAGGAGCCTTGGTTTCAACAATTTTGTGAGCTCTTGACTTCTGCAAGCACCTGGTAACATTTTTATATTCAGATTTGTACATTCTACTTATCATTTGTCTGATTTTTGGATTTGTCCAAATTCATGATGTACAATCAACAAATTAAGCCTACTCAGATTCCCTCTTGATTATCAGTTACATAAAACTTTTTTTGTTACCCACCTCTCCCTCACTTTCTCCAGTTTTTACAATTGGTTGTGTTATTGTAGTGTCACTGTCCCTCAGGTCTCTGGGTTTTTTACAAGCTGCAATTCACGAGTCAAAGCCTCCGGGCCGTCTTGTGTCTTATAAGCACTTGAAAAACAATTCTTTCTCCTTCCACAGATCTTCTCCACCAGGTCAAAAACAATTCCTTAGCAATTTCAAGAATTGGAGAAATTACAATCACATTTCTTTGATCTTGAGGATATGTAGTTACATGACATTTTAATTCCAACTTGAACTTTTACAGAATCATATTGGTCAGCTTATTGTTCGATTGATACAAAAAAAGTATTGAGACACTTTAATTTATAAATATGTGTACTTGAAAAAGCTCTTTTACTAATTATAAAGATAGAGATTTCAATATGGATCAATTAAATTGTGATGTCAAGAACTTGAAGCATTATTTTTGTAATTTGTGACACAAGAATCGAACCTGGATGAGTAGATGCCTAATTCTTGATTTTAAGGTATAATGAATTGAGAATTTGAAGTGTTCTTGAAAAAAATCCTTTGATCATCATCACATTCAGGCACCTACCAGATCCCTAGAATGTTGGTTGGTTTGGCCCATTTGTTTTAGCAGTCGGTACATACTGAAAGGTAACAAAGCGGGTTTCAATAAACGTATACAAGCTTTTGATAAACGAGAAGATTTGACTGACCCATAGCTTTGGATCCAAAGGTTAAAAGATTACCAGGGCACGTATAAGATTGGCCACCATCGTGACAAACTGAAGATCACACATTCACGCACAAAGACGGTTCCGAATAAAACACTTTAGTAGGCATAGAATATCTATAGATTGTTCAAGACTGGGGATACTCACTATAATTCACATTGAGAGGATCATACTCATATCGCGTACAATCTTGATTACTTACGCCGGATGAACCATCGCCTCCAATCAGGTAACAGCCTGACATTCTAACATAATGAGTATCTAAGATCGAAATGCAAAAAGAAAGGATGTCCGTTGATCAGTCTTTAGGGTGAGTTTCGAATTGTAAAGACATCAAGATTGATGTTTGTATCATCTTCACACTTACTGACAAGCGGTGACGAGCATCTTGACCATTTGCACTTGCATACCGTTTCGTCTGGGTAAGTCGACGTACAATCTTGACAAAAACCGGTCGATCGTTAGCATTACGATGTAAACCATGATGTAGGTGATCAATTTGGAAATCAAAATCACATACATGCGTGTCTTTTTGTGAAGGTAAACCTTAAGTCACAGATACATTCCTTGCCCGCCTCAAGACCCTGAATCCAAAGGGAAAATACTAGGAAGGAGATGATCGGGATGAGGCGAAGCATTTCTGGTTTAGTAAGACAGGAAGATGGACTTTGACTGAGGTACTTGTAAACTTGTAACAGTTTTGAATCAAGAAAAGGTAATAGGGATTGGGCGAAAAACCGACCAACAGGTTTCCAAACCCCATTCAATCGCTGTTCAAATTTTTGGGAACGTTTGCGAGATGGCTCGAAATCAATATCAAAGCCACACAAAACCAACAACAATTTTTATCCAACTTTTTGCTTTGCAGAATTGTTGACCGGTATGCTTGGTTGCGTGATCACGTCCATGCTTTGACCGTTCAAAAGCTCTTACAGGTAAAGTAATTTGCGGCGCCTCAAGCCTCGCAAACGCCCTTTTTGCACCTTTTACAGATCTGTGAAAGGTGCAAAAGCTTATCAAAAAATAACATCAGATCAGTTACTGCATCTTCACAAATGCTTGTCCAATCAAAGCAAAAAAAATTGCTGCCGGTTGGACCCATTTGTGAGCTGGACCGTTAATGAGGGTATGTGCACGATTGGGGCTTGAGTTTTTCTAGCCCTGAGCTTTCATTTTGGTGTTACTCGAGCGAAGAGCCAAAGAGCTCTGCCCAGATCACAGCTCAGTTTTGATCGCAAATCTATCAGCCTCCATTTGATTCAGAAACCACATCAACCACAATCTCCACCAACAATGCCATTTGTCAAGTACACCCCTCGAATCAAGGCTCTTGCAGTTATCAAAATCCTCGAAGGCAAAGCCACTGACGAGATTCGCGATGAGCTCCATGCAGACATCTGTGAACGTTCTTTCAAACGTTGGATGGATCTGTATCAAGAAACTCGGCAAGTCATCAGAGATCCTGAAGGATACCAAACTCGAGGACGAAAAACTTTGCTTGATGACGATGACCGCGACTTTCTGAATGAGCTGGTAGCTGCATCACCTGACCTCTTTTTAGACGAGATCCGGGAAAAGCTCTACGACGATACTGGAGCGCTCCCTAGTGTCGAGTGTCTGGCTAATGAACTCAATCATCGCTTACACCTTACCTCGAAGAAAGCCAACACGTCTCATGTCAACAAAGATTTTCAAAGAAAAGCTCAGTATGTTGAAAGGATGCGAGATATACCAGCTGAAATGCTTGTGTTTACTGGTATGGTTTCCACTTCTACTTGAAGGAATCACCATGCTGAATCAATCATCTTGCATCAGATGAAAGCTCGATATGTGAAAGGGACTTGCTACGTGTAAATGGTCGATCAAAATCTGGGGAACGAGTCTATCGATGGGTCCGAAGAAACAATCCTCGCCGCTACTCTCTACTTCCTGCAATCGGATTGAATGGTCTTTTGGCATTGACAGTCCGAGAGGGCAGTATAAATCGCGAGCGATTTGAATCCTTCTTGGAGTTCCAACTGGTACGTGATTGAAGGATATTCTGTATCATTTTACATCCTCACTTTGTTCCTTCCATGTTGGACAGCTGCCACAAATGCAACCCTACCCAAATCCCAACAGCGTACTCGTGATGGACAACTGCTCAATTCATCACAACGGGCGAGTAGCTGAGCTCTGTGAGGCAGCAGGTGAGGTTTTGGTTCTTTACTCTTATTCAGTGGTTATTCTCGAGCTGAAATGGTGTCTGGTGAAGGTGTATTACTGGTATATCTACCACCGTATTGTCCAGAGCTCAATCCCATCGAGTACTGTTTCTCTGTGATCAAATCACGCTTCAAGAGAACTCGCATCCTCGAGAACGCAAATGAAGAAGCAAATTGGCCAATCAGAGAGACAGCAATTGATGCAATCACTCCTGAACTGCTTGCCCCTCTATATGCAAATAGTGGGTATCTATTGCCTCCAGGAATGATGGTCATGGATCTCATGGATCTTGTTTAGAAGTTTTTTTCATTTTGAATATCGGGTTTTTATATGATCTTCATGGATCAATCCCATCTCAATTTTTATCGATCGATCGATTCTATTTCAAAGTTGTTTTTGTATTGTGTGTGAAATCTATGTCTTCGTAGCTTGGGTAGTCGTAAATCAATATCGAGTTTTTTATATGATCTTCATGGATCAATCCCAATTCAATCTTTATCAACCAATCGAATCCATTTCAATGTGAAATCTCAAGTCCCAGTTTTTTTATCGACTGATTGACTTTTGTTGAGATCTTGAGTTCCTCACTATCTACTTTTGATTAATTCAACTTTGATCGAGTCAAATATCGATCAAAATGTTGCTACACTTGCATTAAGATCTTGATTGATCATCAGTACATAAAGAAGACAAAAACAATACACTATGTTGAAAAAGATCGATCGATCATCAGTACATAAAGAAGACAAAAACGATAAAATACAAGAGAATAAAGAAAATAGACAAAAACGAGACACAGTGTTGAAACCATACACGAGATTTGATACAAAGTAAGAAAAGGAAACCATTTGATTCAAATGAAGTCCTGAAGCGTCCTAAAATCTGAACAATCAAATCAGAGTTTCAAAAGATGATTAGCGAGTCTCCTCGAAATGAAGCTATGACATTGAGATAGATTACCTTTCTAATCCTCGTCAGCAAGATGCTCGTCAAACCGATCAACATTGTCGAGTAAGTCACTAATTATACCAGCTGGAATACCATACCCTAACAGATCGCTTTTGGTGATTGAACCGTCGGTTTTGTGAAAGTTGTGATAGTCTCGAATCCTATGGGGTTTGAAAAGGTCGATGATTTCATTGACTTCAACTGGATTGTTAATTCCAACAAATTTGATGTAGTCTTCCATCGGAGCAGAACCTCTAGGTGGTCTCTGAATGACACCATTGGAAGGTCCCACCACAGCTTGATTATAGGACGTTCGAGTACGTTTTTTCTTGAGGGTGCCTTTCATACTCTCTCGCAGGCCTCTCGGTGGACTGATCTGTGAAACACCGTGAGTTGTAGGGTTTAACTGAGAAGTTGAAAATTGAGATCAGTCATAAACACTGTGTTATAAAGATCATTGGTACGTACAATTTCTTTGGCCCATTTCTGAGCATTCCCCGGTGACATTAGGACATATCCATCATCATCGCCGGGAATCTCATATACACGGAAAAAACGATCCAAATCATGTCGTACAACACTCTGAGCTTGAAGATCCTTGGCTAAGATATCAATTTCATGACTGTCTGAATCGGACATATTCTGGATGTATAAAGAAAAGAATCAGTGTAAATTGTAGGAAAGTTGACTGGCCACCCACCCCGACATTATTTTGATCTCCAACAGACCATAAGCGGCGAGTTGAGGCTAAAGAAGCGTTCTTACAAGAGAGAAAGCAATCAGCTTGGAGCAGAAAAAGACCGAAAGGAAACTACTCACTCGCTTTTGAGAATCAACTTTCAACACAGGCTTGTCCATCAGTAAATAAAGGCCACCTGTTTGAGATGATACCTTCAATACCTCATGGGCCCAGGCTTGAAATTGTTCTTCACAATGAACCTGATTTCCTCGGGTTTTTGACCAACCTCTTTGCCCTGAGATTGTTGCAATCCATTTGATGCGCTTCTCGTCTGAATTAAAGTCGGTCATAATCAGGTCACCTAATTCATTGTCTTTGTTATTACAGTCCCGCTTGACAGTTGCTTGTAGATCGAGAAATGACATTTGATTCGGATTAATTTCTAACAAAATGTTCCCCCTTTTTAGTGTGTAGGTCTTCCATTTTGGATTCCTGCTGTTGCCATGGTTGGTGTAGATGCTGATCTCAAAATCACACTCAAACGATTCGCGCATGATTCCTGAGTTGAAGTGTTGGTGACGTGGCTGATTGGGAGTGTAGTAGGTGGTTGATGGAATTGATGATGGGGGGATCGGGTAGCTGGGCAGAGCTCTTTGGCTCTTCGCTCGAGTAACACCAAAATGAAAGCTCAGAGCTAGAAAAGCCCAAGCCCCGATCATGCACATACCCTCATTAACGGTCCAGCTCACAAATGGGTCCAACCGGCAGCAATTTTTTTTGCTTCGATTGGACAAGCATTTGTGAAGATGCAGTATGTTCAATTACTTGGAAGGATCAGACCCACCCGAGAGCTCAATTCGGGGATGCAGGTTCTGTGAAACCTGCGTCCAGTCATCTTCAACTCTTTTCGCGTAACTTCTCCATGGCGCAAAACCTGTTGGTCGGTTTTTCGCCCAACCCCTAATGATTGATGTGCGAGGAAGTATGCGATAGATACCTGAACTATGTAGCACAGACTAGCACTTTCATCTATTTACATTTACGGAGAAGCCAAAAGCCTCAAAAAGCCACATAAGTCGTGCCACCGGCGTGCAATCTTGGGCTTCTCTGAGCTTCTATATGCAAAATTTGGTTGGGCTTTAGTGGCGGTTCTCTAGAGAATAGAAATCACTTTTACCTTACTCCTGAGTCCTAGTATAACCTAGTATAACTCATTCTTCTTTTCGGAACAAATGTGAATTCTTTTGAAAAAATTCCATCAAGTCAATTCAAAGATTATCTTCTTTAGATATCTTAGTAGGACACCATGTTCTTGTTCTCATATGACCGAAATGGATTTGCATGATGATTGAAAACTTGTATACAGTCGACTCCCTCAAAACCCATACCCCTCTTACCCCATACTCCCAGTTAATCCATGGAAATTTCAGTCCATAAAATTGGCATGTAGATTGCCCTAAAATAACTCCCTTGAAAGCCATAAACCCACAAAAGCCATAGCAATTGGGGTCCATAAAAAGGTATGGATTTCGAGGGAGTCAACTGTAGATTCAATTGTTTCTTTCAAACAGTAAATGAGAAAGAAATTGAACTTTAGCTTTTGAAAAAAAAGTTGGTATATATAAAGGCTCCATGACATGAAAAATGGAATTTTGTCTGTTACAATGAAATTGCATTGGTATCGATGATAAGAAAAACTAAGAAAATGATGTTTTGCTAAAAGATTAGGATGTGATAAATATAAGAGAAATCATTATCACCCTTTGAATAAAAAAATCCAACCAAAGGAAATGTATCAATTCAAGTTGTACGAATTCCTAGAATCTCAGCCATTGTGGTTGCATTCAGACTGGTAGCCAATTTCTTCGGTTTGATATATTTCGATCAAGCTCTACATGATCCATCTTGAAAAAAGTTGATGGGTTACATTTCTTAGGTAGAAAGATCAAAGTCAGTCAAGAAAATACTTACGCCATACGAGAATTAATAGGTCGAGAAATGGTAATATGTTCTGAAGTTTCATCTTCTTTCTCTCCACTCTTGATTAAAGATTGACTTTCCGATATGACTGAAGTTCCTACATCAGATGTTTCATGAGTTTTACCCGCTATACCTGACCTGATGGACTTTTTTTGCATGTTGTCATTGTTGTCGAAGAAGACCCTGGTATGTTTTGACTGCGTGGATTCAGACAATCTTGGTCTCTCTTCAAGCTAGCTTGATCAAGCTCGTTACTGGCCTCACGCACTGACAGTCAACCCAAGATGTCACAGGATTCAGAGGATGGCAATAATCAACATTATAAATGGTCAGAAATGATCACAGCTGCTCATATCCCATGAATTGTAACGCCGCGGGTCACCAAAAGGCACTTCTCCAGAACCCTATATGGGTGCATTCCTGGGTCCTGTTTATTCATTGGGTAGTTTTTAAATTTGATTGAGCTTCTTCAACATACTCAGGGACGATTGAAGGTATGCTTGAATGAAATGGTTATGAAACAAGTGTTTTCACAGCTGAAAATGTTTAATGAAATCATCAAGGAACCATCATGGTGGATGACTAAACATTCATGCGCTGTGTTCCTGATTACCTTTATAACCTCGCAATTAGCCTGTCTCTTTCTTTTTGTGTCTTCATCAACTTCACTTTACTTCACTTCATTCTTCTTATTATTCTTATTATATTCTTATTATCATCATGAATTCAGTCTTTGATAATCAGTTCTCAATTTCTCAATCTGAAAATGAATCTCAACTGCTTTCTACTTACTCTCAACCTACTCTTTCAAATCTCATTAGTTTGTCATTCCTGCTTCATTTCAAACATAGATGAACTCCAGGTTTACTTTCCGTATGATGCCTATTGATGAATTTGCTTGTTTGATTCAAAATATAGGTTCAATTACCAATCTAGTCATCAAAGCAAATCAAGATTATAATCACCAAACCCTCAACTCTCTTATAAGTCTTCAAGAAACGAACAGGTCCAAAACGTTTGTACTCAATCTCTTGATGTTGAAGTCTAAATGAAACCCAATCTGACCTGTTTTTCATCAGTGGACTATTCGGATCATCACCTTACTTGAACTTGGGCTCCTCTTCAATTCAAGATGATCTTCCATCTTGTTTTAAATTTTATCTTTCGATTTCGACTACTTCTCCTAAATCGATCATATCACCTTTACTCAACTTATTTAAATCAGAATCAAATCAAATCATCCAAAATCCCAATCGAATCACAAGAATTCGGTTGAGTTTTAATAGAGAACTTCAACTTGATTCTATTAAACTTGATTCTGATTTGATTTCTAATCTCGATCATCATTCTTTATCACATTCCATTCCTATGACTCAAACATCAATCATCAAAATTGAAGAAATCAAGGTGTTACATGAAAGATTGTCATCTGATGATCTCGATCAATCCTTTATTTCACGATTGGTAGTTTTATTGTGGTACGTTACTGCATCCTTTTTCCATTCTTCCTCTTTCACTATTCATTTGAGAACAATGGCGACGTCCTACTATGTTAAAGAGTGGAATGAATTCAGCGCCTGCAGGCTTCTCTGATTTTGGATCTAATCTTCAACATTTATGAAGAAATATTGAACTGATCAAACCTCTGTTTTTTCTTTTGAAAACAGTCTTCCTTTCTTCAGCATGGTCATCAAACTCATTCAATTCACGTCTAACTATATGACTTCATTTGAAACTCTTCCGTACAAACTTGGCCAATTCCTCATGAAATTCTCTCATCGAACGGTAGCACAAGCTGAGAATAAAGCTAATCAACATCGAATCATGGAAAAGGAATTCTTACGAGTCATCAAATCGGAACTTGAACGTCTCTTTATTCCACCTGATGCATCCAATACAGCTTCTTTTAACCTCGGTCTATCTTCTGCTTCGTTTTCGGTCTCTCCTCCTGATCTTTACTCTCCCTCGCGAGGTTCACAAGACGTCCAGAGTCATCTACTCGGTACAGCTCGAGAACCATCCTCTTCAGAACCTCGTAGCAAGGCAGAGGATGGATTTGGAGTGTTGAGTGACGCAGACAAGTCCTTGGGTCGAGCCATCGAAGAACCTGTACCGTGTTTTTGTTTGAAGAATGTAAAGTTTGGTCAATTATTGCATACCTTTACAATTTGTTTAATCTTTCAACTTTATTGGACTTCAGTCAACATGATCTCACGACTCGAACTTGCGATCACTCAATACGCTTACCGATTTGTACTCTGGATCAATCCTAATCAACGACGTCATTCAGCTTCATCTTCAGCTAGTCATAACAGTCCTAGACCAAAAGAGATTTCCAATAAGCCTTTCAGAATTTCTCAGTCGATCAATTCTCCTCTACCTTCCTCGATTATGAAACCTACTGCGGACAATTTTCAAAATTCGATTCCAATACCGGGTAGAGTGATTAGAAATGTTTCTTGGGATAATGGATCGATTTTAGGATACCCAGGTGTTTCTAATAATACCGATCAAGAGATGATGGTGGGTAAAATTCCACATTTACATAGAAAGGATAGTAAAGTGTTGCCGAAGAGTCCTAAACCGATTTTAACTCACGCGTCCAAGAACAATCATCCAAAAATTGAAAAGATTCAATTTGGACATCAATCGAGTTTAAACAAGATGGCGAATGAAGTTTTAGGAAAGGCATCAGATGACCAAGAGGAAGAGGATGAGGATGAGGAAGCAGATGATAAGGAAGAAGATCGTGATGTAGAGGATGAAGAGGAAGATCAAGAAGAAGAATCAGAAGATGAATTGAGTGTAGTGATCAATGAGTATGAATACAATGAAGAACGCAGTCCGACACCAAGTCCAGAAGATTCCATGAAATTTCCCATCACACCTGAAATCACTCAAACTGGTCAAACTTTTAAAGATGTCGAATCACTTGATAGTTTAGAAAAGTTTCCTTCTAGGTTATTCAAAGAATCTGATTTATTAATTCAATCTTCAAAAGCACTTGAAATGATGAGAGTTCAAGAGAATATAGGTAGTAGTAGAATTGAAACTGGAGAATATCATTCTTGATACTTTGGTTGGGTTAGACCTTGTTTTTGAGGTGTTTTAGTGTGCTTTTTTTGTTGGTACAGTAGGGTTTCTTTTCGTCTTTTTGATTCAATTTAATAGCATTTACCCCAACATGTATCAATTTGGATTTCTCTCTGAAGAAAGCTTTTAATTCATGTAGACAATCTGATTTGTATTGTTGTATTATTTTTTGGTCATTGATTATTTGAAAGTTTATCAAGTTAAGTTATTTAATGTAACTTATCATCAGATTCAATATTGGATTGTAGAGTAATTAGTTAATTGAAAGAAGAAGTCAAAAACCAGAAATTAGCAAAATCAAATGTTGTAATAACCTTTGTGTTTTTGTGTGTGTTTGTTTTTGGTTATCATTCCCATGTCTTTTTCTAAGTCTGGGTATTTATAAACAAACAAAAGGGTGTTGAACTGGAGTTCTAAGTTCTGGGTGGTTTTTGTATTACATTAATGTTGTGCAGCTTAAAGTAACACAGTCAAATTGTGTCTAGGATTTTACTAGGACAAGTGACTTTGAGGCACAAGGGACTTGAGGCAATAAGATTGATTTTTGGTGTAATGGGTTTTCAATTCTTCTCCCAATTTTAGTAAAGGAAACCTTCATCAGACCACCCATTGGAAAATAGATTACGGCCTAGCATTGAAAGTACATGTTTTAAACTACTGCTTCTTCTGAAGAGATTGTTCTAAGATTTTTGAAACTTTACTATGCTTGCTACTGTCAAAGACTTATAATGAATTTCAGGCAGATACTATTACTGCAATTGACCAAATCCAATGTTCTCACTCAAAACTCAACATTTTGAACATTTGAGAGCAGATTTGAGATACTCAGTCTTAGATAATCCACAGCTGCATGCCATAAACAGTGAAGGATGCAGAGTTGAGGTATTTTCATCCTCATCCATTACCCCCAAAAATATTCTTAGCTTAGGCAATTCCCTACATCACGTGAGCTGAAATAGGTCAAAGATGTTCTGTTTTCTGCTTGCACAGTCACACTAAATCCTTCTGTACCTCACTTTTCCCATAAACCACAACTTTTCAATTGCACTCTTTGCAAATCTCACAACTTGATGATCAACTACCACACCAAAGCTCAAGCTTAATCCCTTATAAGTCCCTTGTGCCTCAGTGAGAATTAGTTGTCAAATGAATCCAAGGAGAAGTTTGTTAAGTTTGTGTAATTACATGCAGGGTGGAAGTCAATAATGAATGTGCCAAGTTTGATTTTTGTACTTGTATTTCAAACAACTAGAGAACATGTGGGCATGCTTGCCACAGTTTTGCAGTCTGCTAAGCTATCTGCACCTGCTCAAATCTTCAAGACTTGTTAGTGAAGTCACAACTTTTGATTCTTGGTTTGGGTTCACCTCTTCCTACCTCAAGGCTCAACTCATAGAGTTCCTTTCTTATGCTCACCTTTAATCCCTTTTGGAGAACCAGCTGGAATAAAGTTCTGGCTGTCAGCACCGGCAGTGGTTGTAAGCTTCCAAACAGTTGGTGTGTTCTTCAGGTGGTGTTCTTGGTTTCACTCTTTGACATGAGTGAGAGCCATTGGCATACTTGTTTACAAAAACTTTCATTGAGGTTCAGTGAAAGTATTGTCTGATCAACTCTAGCGTCTTCATCTGGCCAAGGTGTCCAGCTAGTATGCTATTGTACCTAGATTGAAGGATCTTGATTGTAAGTTTGTGGTTGTTTGGGACTCCTTCTAAACCTCTGAAATAAAGGGTTCCTTCTGTGTGAGTATACACCTCCCACCTTTCATTCTTTTCTTTGCTTAACTTCACTAGTATGATGATCCGCTCATCAGAGGTTGAGATCAATCTCAGTTCTTCTAAAATTAATGAATCATCCCAGACCTCCATGACATCTTCTAATCTGTACACTTTGTTATTTTTCATATCAATGAATAATTCAATTACATCTTTGTTGTGCATCAACCAGTTGTCTGGGGTGTCCAATTTGGAAATAAACATGTCTTTGGGCAGGTTTTCTGGTTTTAGTAGTTGTCCAAAGTCTACTTTACAGTTGTTGACTGGGTCCAGGTCAGGTTGCCTTGATAAGGCATCAGGCTTTGTTGACTGTTTCCGTAGTCGGAACCGTATCTTGAAATCAAAGCAACCAAGTATTTCTGCCCAGCAAGCTTTTTGTCTTGTCAGCTCCCTAGCTTTCATTAAAGACTCCAGGTTTTTATGATTGGTATAGACAATGTCATTCAATCTGTGAGGGTATCCTTCCAGATGCCACTCCTCAAATGACACAATGACAACAAGCAATTCTGTATCAATAATCTCATAATTACATTCTGCTTGAATCAATGAATGTGAGAGAAAAGCCACATGATAGACTTCCCCTTTGTTGTTGGCTCTTTGCAACAGGACTGCTCCTAGTGTGTAATTGGAGCATTCACATTCTTGGATAAATTGCTTGTAAGGATCAGCAATTTTCAGTACCCAATCTTTTGTAAATGCCTCCTTTGGTGTTCTGAATACTTGGACACACTCTGGTGTCCATATGAAAGGAATGTTGCTTTGAGTCAGTCAGGTTATGTAGGGGTTGTGAAATTCTTGAGAAGTTACTGATAATTCTTCTGTAGAAGTTGAAATTGCTGCACTTCTCCTATGTTCTTTGGCGTAGGCTTAGATTTGACCATAGAGATCTTATTGTGAGATAATTGAAATCATAAGTAAGATATTTCTGATTGTCCAAATCTACACTTCTATGGCTTGAGTCATATGTTTTGTGCATGTAATTTATCTAAAGCTGCTTTCACCGCTTTCTTGTGGTCTTCACCGGGTTTGGAATAAATCAGTATATTATCTAATACATAGGTAGGACAAGAATCGAGCAAGAGTCTCGTTCATAAACTAGATCACAGAAGACCAGATGGATTGAAATCAGTTTCAAAAGCCCATCTCGCATGGTTTGATCGTTTTACTATAGAAATCATGAAACAAGATGTAGTAGCTTTAAGAAGAAAACTTAGCTATGATAGATATTGGACCACATCAGTGGAGATCATCCTGCTGTTGCTTTTTCAGATTTGATTGAGATTGAGTTGACTGGTTGGGTTGAAGATGGTTGGATGAGAATGGATGGATGAGATTGATGGGGATAGATAAGAAGTGATTGTAGTAAGATACATATTCTCAATCAAAAGAAATCGAAATTAAATTAAATTATGAATTAAATTAAAATTAGTTTACACAGATCGACGATAAGATTTAAATCGAGAATTTCAAAAAACAAGAATCAGAACACACTTTTCACCATTGACCATTGACCATCTCAATCCATCAGAACAACATCAGTACACCATCACTACACCATCAGAAGAACATCAGAAGACTACATCATGCTCAAGTTTAGATTTCCAAATTCTAAAAAATCAAATTCAAATTCAAATCAGTCTCATCAAGAATCTGAACCAACACCAACACCAACTGACCAAGATACTTTAACCCATCTCATTCCAATTCAATCAACCACCACCACCACCACTACAAATCAAACTAATTCATCATCTTCACCATCGACTTCTTACTCTGAACCTAATCTAACCACATTTCATCAATCTAATCCTACTACTAGTACTAATACAAATCATTCTTCTCCTTTAACTACTTCTAATCTTCAAGATACTTCAATCCATCAATCACAATCCAATCCTCAATCTAATCCTAATCCTACTCTCATGTTTCCTAAAAAGACGCGTCGGAAATCTTATGGTGGTATCAGGTCAATCCATTCATCTTATATCCTTTATCATTCTCTTCACTCTAATACTAATCCTCTTGATCATCTTCTTTATCTTTCTAGAGCCATGTTGGGTATCAATCAGAAATCAGAAGATGCTCCACCATTACCAGTTCCAATCCCATCTTCATCCGATCCATCTCAACCACACCCACCTCAACCCCATCACCAACATTCACAAGCTTCAATGGATGCATCTACTTCACCTGCCAGTTCATTAATCAGTATCCCTCCTTCTCCTGTGACAGCTGAATCTAGACCGTCTACGTCTTCCTTAAGACCGTTTCCATTCTTGGGTGGCATCAGACGTAAAAGTGCAAATTCGAATGCTCCGAAACCTAACCCTCATCATCTTCCTTGGAACGCTTCAAATCATCCGACACCCAACTTACCTCATCCGACCATCAGTCCGACGACTTCGACGTCTAATTTAAAAACTCCTACGATCACTAGTACGGCTAGTTCACTTGGACATCGAATCTATAGTGTCAGTTCTTAAACTTAATCAAACTAACCAAACTAACCAATCATCAATTGACTTATTTTTCATCTCCATCTCAAATTACATAGCATGGATCATCTAAGAAAGCACAATCAGTCGATGATCTCTCTCAATTCGGATTACTACCTAAACCTAGAATCAAACCTAGAAGATCAGTTGAAGAACTGAACAGGAACCATCCTAATCTGAAATCAACCGGTCCACCTAGATCTTTATCTTCTCAAAAGAATCCTTCCGATCTGAGTAAAGGTTTGGATCAGATTGGTGAATTGGCAGGTTCGTTGGCTTCGATCACTCATGAGGATCGACAGCCTAGGTTATCGAATCCCAAGGGAATGAGAACTGGTATGTGATGGATCTCTTTGATGATTCATGGAACTCTGAAGTGGCTTGGCTTGGGTTGAATTGGATTGAATTGATCTCGGTTTCGGATTTCATTCATAGTTTATGGTGTTTCATTGGAAGATTTGTATTGGAGAGACGGAGATCAGTATCCATTACTAGTGAACATCTTAGTCGAACTGATTGAAGAGAAAGGTAAATCGATCCACATCTTTGACTTCTTCTTCTTCTTTTCTCATAGACGAGTGGTTTTTTTTTTTGAAACGAAACCAAAAAAAAACTCACGTAGAATTAAATTAAACTTTTTTTTTTCAAGAAAGACTGATCTTTGGTTTTAATTTTTTTTTGGGGGATTTTGGATCATTAGGTATTGATCAACAAGGGATTTATCGAGTTCCAGGTGAAAAGAGAGTGATTGAAAATTTACAAGCATCAATTGATGAAAGAGGTAAGACAAAAGACCAGACTCCCCCTTCAGAAAAACGCACAGAAGATCAACTAACTTGTCATTTGAAATTTTGGGTACTTTTTTTGCTGGGTGATTGTTAATGATATAGGTGTCATAGGTATAGATATCTGGAAAGATAGTTATAAAGATGTACATAATCTCTCAGGTTTGTTGAAATTGTTTTTAAGGGAGATTCCAGGTGGAGTGATACCATTTGATCGATATGATACTTTTTTGGCCGTTAGTGGTACGTGGGTTTTTTTTTTCTTGATTTGATCTTTTTTAGGTTCGAAGGGGTAAAAAGAAAAAGACGGATGTAAGAGAAAGTGATGGGATCATTTGGGGTCTTTGGTTTACCTTTTCTTTCTTTCTTGTTTTGTTTTGTTTTGGTGGTTTAGGGATAGAAGAATCTTTGAAGACTGAACAGTTACATGCACATGTTAAGGAATTACCGAAACCAAAGTTTGTGTTTTTTTGAGATGTTCGATCTTGGTGGGTTGATTATTGATTTCTTCTTTCTTTGAACTTTAGTCGGATCTTGTTGCTAAGACTAGTACGACATTTTGAAAAGTAAGCGTTTCGGTATTTGATGACGAGCGTTTATTGTTTTGTGCTGATCTAACTTGATGATTCGATTGGGTATATGAACTGATCAGAGTAGTGGCCAATGCTGAAACAAATAGTATGCTAGCTCATAATGTTGTAAGTCTTTTTTTCAAGAAGATCATCTGTTATTCCAATCGATTTTTTTCCCTTTTTGATTTGGATTTTCAATATTTCTTTGGGGGGGATTCTTGTAGGCCATTGTTTTTGCGCCTAGTTTATTTAGAAGTGGATCAGAACATTCGAATCCATTATTATCGATGCAAAACATTGGAAAAGCATCAGCGATTGTACGACATTTAGTTTTGAATGTGAATGAGATCTTTGAAATTGAAGAAGGAGAAGAAGAAATCGAATTAGAAAGATCAAAAGTCAGAAGAGCGAAATTAGAAAATTCATCAAAAGAAGAAGTATCTATCAATAAGAAGAAGAAGAATGAGGTTCATCAAACTAATCATCATCAACCCAATGAGTCGAAAAGTTGGAATATTAGAAAAGAATCGAATGAGAAAAAGAAGTCTAGGTCGTCTAAATCGATCCAACCTGTTTCTACAACCAATCCATCTTCGACATCTTCTACTTCTATACCTAATTCAAATCATTCGACTGGTTCTAGTTCTACTTCTAATTCTACAAATACAGTGACTAAGCATCATAAGAAGAAAGGTAGACAATCAATTCAGAATCAAGTCATGACTACTAATACTACTACACATCAAAAGAAATCATGAAACCAAAAAGGAGATCCGGATGAATTGGAAACTAACTACTAACACTCACACCACCACGAAAAAAAAAGTTGATATCTTTATACTACTCTATACTTTTTTATTATTATTATTAAATCTATATATTAAATCTATATATATATATATATATATATATATATTGTTATTCTATATTTATTATTATTATTTGGGTATCTCTTTTTTTTCTCTTTGGATCTAAGTTTTTTGTTTTTTCTTTGAACTTATTTAATATATATTCATTGATGTTTTCTTTTTTGATTGATTGGATGGATGGATGGAGAAGATGATGATGATGATGATGGAACAAAAAAGGATGATGGAAAAGAGAAGTTGTGGGTTACTTTTTTGGGGGTTTTGTAATTAAAAATGAACCAAATGGAAATTTGTTTTGGGTTTTGGGAAGTTGAAATGAATGGACAATGAATGAATGAATGAATGAATGAATGAATGAATGAATGAATGAATGAATGAATGAACGAATGAATGAATAGATGAATGAATGAATGAATGGATGACTTTCTTTTGGGTTTGGGTTTGGTTTGTGTTGACATGAAATGCTTTTAAAAAACTACCAAAAGTATCAAATGAAGATGATGTTGATGAAAAGTTGCACTTGGGGAGTTTTTGATTTTGGTTTATGTTTTTCTTGCTTTTTTTAGTTTGGATCATGCTTCATTCATCAGTCATCTGTCATCATCTGTCATTCATCATTCATCATTCATCATTCATCATTCATCATTCATCATTCATCAAGACAGTTCTTTTTGTTACCTTTTTTTTTTAAAAAAAATGAACAACACTCACTACTTTGATGATTAATTTATTGGTTTTTTGTTTTCTCAAATTGGACCAAGTTTTTTTTATTTAATTGATAATAATTCTGATTGAATGAATGATTTAGAAAATCAGATAAAGGTTTTTATTTCTGGACCGTGCATCAAAAATAAGATGGGCACCACTCGGGCCACACTCATCTTTGCTACAGCCAAACTCCATGTGACTTGGGTAGACATGTACCACCCTACATGCACTCTTTTTTTCTAAGATTTAGGGGATACAAAGTTAAAACTGGGAGTTTTTTCCCAGTTTCCCAGTTTCCCAAATACCGCCAAGGAGAACGTGGGAAAGTTCCAAACACAGCCAAAAACAAAAACTGGGAAACTGGGAAAAAAATCCCAGTTTTAACTTTGTATCCCACAATTGTAGTGGAGTCTGTGAAGTTTCTATTCTCTAGCCTTCTAATCCACTCTTCTACATTGATGATCAAAGGACAATCAACACAGCCATCACCACCACCACCATTAGCTTTGATCAACTTCACTTACACATCTAAGGATGTGATGGAAAGGCAAACCAACTCTTTTGCTGCTCAACATTGTTATGGCATTGGAGTGGTAACCAAGAAATCAAAGAAGGACAATGGCCTTGAAAAAGTATACTTCAAATGCACATTAGGAGGGACCTACCATAATAGACATGGTCTGACAGATGAGACACATAAACAGAAGACCTCTAGCTGTGTTACCAACTGCCTATTGCAGTTCATAGAAACAGACTTCAAGGTCAACACGTCAAGCTTTGTCATCAAGGAACCTATGCACAATCACAGACCTTCCTTTGCGGCATCAACACACCCAGGTCATCTCTGGCTCACTGAAACTCAGGATAAGGCAATTAAATTTATGTTTGAAGCCAAAACTGAAATTCACAATATATTTCAGGTTCAACTCTGCAACATGGATGGTGGTGCAGATATTCTGTGTGAAGATTTGTATAACCTTAAGAGACAAGCAACATGGGATAAATTTGATGAAAGAACTCCCATGGATACTTTAGTTGAAAGGTTCACCAGAACGGGAAAAAAGATTGAAGTCAAGACTGATGACACAGGCCAGGTGATGCATATGTTTTATGCACATCCAGATTTGATTTCACTCCTGCTTATTGACTACAAGGTCTTGGATGCTACATACAAGACAACTTGGTCAAAGTTCCCATTACTCCATATTAATGGTATTCAAAACTCGAGAAACCGGTCCAAGAAGTGCCAAGAAGTGACATCTAGAAACTTCTCGGACACCTCGAAGATGTTTCTCGGCTCCACGATCTTTCTCAGGCCAAATATTATTTTTGGAGATATTCACACATGTATTTCTCCACATGCATGATCTGCTCCTTCTAACACCCGCTCAATTAATATCACATGGTTGATATACCCTCCTCCAATTCCCCTCTTTCTCGTACTCCATCGGCCTCATCTTTTGTTGGACAACCTCCACCAATTCATCATTACCCTTATACCTTCGTATCGCCAACCATCAACCCAAATACGCCACTTATCCACCAACACCATCTCTCGTCAAGCATCAACCCGCAAATTTGGGGCACCATGCCTCAGTCACCCTACCAACCTGTCATTCAAACTCAAGAAAGCCTTCCTGCGAGTCAAGCGTTGACTCAAACCAATCCAAATCCGAAACGCGCCAAGCAATCTCGCAAACAAAACGCTCCCAAGTCCAACAACCAGCCATCTTCCCCTGTCCGTGCTTGAACTGGGTGGCGTACCGACAAAAACAGGGACGGCAAGACTCCCCTGTGGATCGTAGTCGAATGGTTGATAACAGCTGAAGGTGATGGTCATTGGATAGACTGGTGGAGAGGTGAAGGTGGAACCATCAAGAAGTCTGAAGTAGCTGAAGACGTTGCAAAGTACCTCACCAAAAACGGATTTCCCAACATAAAACCTTCAGCTGTTGAATTCCAGGTATGTCCTTTCAATCTTGGACACATATGTATACATATGTTAAACACATGTGATTTTCTTTTGGCATTAGATACGAGAACTCGAGAAGAGTTACCGAAATGGGCGAGACTTCCGCAAAGCAAGTGGGGAAGGTGTTAAACAAAAGCTCATGGAAGATGCTATTGCTGAGAAGGAGGCCAATGATTACACATCCAATAGTGAGGCTTGGAAGGAGCGACTATCTTTGGTAGAAGATTTGTTCGAAGGTGTGTTTATTACTTATGTATATGTTCTTTGAGATAGACAACTGATTTATATATGTTTCACCTACTTTTAATTCTCCAAAGCTTTACTCAAAAAAAAATGTCTATACTATGAAGAAATGCTCCCAGCCTTTGGAAGGCGAGAGGCAAACTCACCAGACGCTGTTCAGGAATCTAACGATGTGATTGATGTAGATGCAATCTTACCATCTCAAAAATTTTCTGATTTCCGAGTCGAACCCGAGAACAATCAACTTGAGGCCAGCCGAGCTAATCAAAACGAAAACGATGATGATCCTTTCGAAGACGAAAGTTCCTTGGATCGAATCTTTGCTGGAATCGACAGTCCTCATTTGGAAGAGTTAGATGATGGTCAAAACAAACATAACCTTGATGAACCTGAAAAATTGAATGATATCAGCCTCAATGAAACAACAACTTTGGAGGTTCAAAGCACCTCTCGGCCTAAGTTCTCAAAACCTCGTCATGCTTCACCTTGAAAAAGCTCTTACGTTACATCAGTGGATTCTACAAACGCTGGGAGAAGCAAATCATCTCGAGTCAACTCAGGTCCCACATCATCAGTTTTAACAAATCACTTACCATCTCGCGAAGAACGTGAATCTGAGTGGGAATTCAAGAAACAACACATGTTAGCGGAGCAATCTGCTAGACAATCCGAAGTCATTTCTAACAACAAACTTTCCGAAGCGATCACTAAGAGTTTAAACCCTGGAATCGATCAGCACACTCATTCATTACAAGAACTCCAACTCAAGAGGGAGACTTTGGTTTTCAATCAAGCCGAGTTGGATTTCAAAGAAAGAAATATGGATGAAACAAAAGAACTGAAGCGGCGTAGAGAGCATCTTGAGTTAGATAAAATTGAGAAAGAGCTTGAAAGTCATAAGAAGAAATCCAAGATTGAAGATATTTCTTTGAGAGGACGTCTATATAAAGAATACATGGATAACTTCGGTCTGACCTTGACCAAAGCAAAAGAGACTGTGGATAAAATGCTTGCTGAAGATTGAGACGTAGGTAACACAACTCCACCTTTTGATGAATGTAGACCTAACACCTTTTCGCTATACCTTTATGAAATTTAGTTTATGAGACTCTTTGAGGAACTCTCGATTCCACCGGTTTTTTAGGAACACCAATTGTTCCAGTTTTTTTTTGATTTTGTAATCTCTTTGAATTGGTTGAATTAGTTATCTTGTTGTTTTTGTAATCTCTTTGAAATACACAAGCTTATATGCTCTCTGACTTATTGTTTTAGTTGAATTAGTTATCTCTCAAATGGAATACATTGATATTCATTCTTTGGAGATACGCCAACAGGGAAGATTGAACAAACAAAAACTCCTGCCATTTGCAATTTCGCATGTTTGAAGAAACTTCTTCAAACAAGAGGAACGAGATCTTATACAACCTTTTTTTTAATTTAATTTGACTTGATCAAAGAAACTTCATCAAACAAGAAGAACGAGTTCGTATACAATTTTTAATTTTAATTTTTCTTATTAAATCAAGAAAAGTGAGATCAAAGAAAAACAGTTAGAAAATTTTAAAACGAGTTCCAAGTCAAACAAAACATTTGACATTTTTATTGTCAGTTTGACCCATTCGAGATGAAACCAAACATCTTTTTCCGCCTTTTTCATATCCAAAGTAAAGATGAGCAACTTTTCAACACCTGGAAATAATGAAGATTGATGAGATTGAAAGGATCAATTTGACATTCAAAACCGATTACATGAATGTTATGAATCCAAACTTACACCTATCAGACATCAGCTCCCATATGACGACAATATTCTGCAAACACTTGTCTGCGTAAAGTGTCATCATTATCGGCAAGGACTTCGTTAAGTACCGCAGGTTGATCTTCCCAATGTTGTCGCTCGGCTTCACGTTGTGGAAAGCAAATTACATCACTCATCCAATAATTCAAAACTTACGGTCACAGCCTCAAGGTTATATTTGAGACACTACTCAGCAGGAGCATTTTTCCTGAGATGACATATTTTTAGTTTATTCATTTCATTTATTTATTTTACATCTTTTGAAAACTACAAGTACATTGTTAAACTAAACAGAATCACACAAATAAAATTGAATCTTAAACAAATAGAACTCAAGAGAAACTTAATAAGATTTGATATTAAAGAATTGAAACAAAATCAATTGAAGTTAATTATATATTTAGTGAAGTCAAAATGAAAGCAAAACAAGATGAAAAGTCAAGATTAAAATGATGATATTAATAGAAGGATCAATTTTGGGGGTTTGAATTGAGATGGGAATGAGGGTAGTATCAGCATTGTACAAGATGGAGAACAGAAAGAATGTTAAGAAAGAGAGACTCACTTATCAAGATCGAGACCAGAGCTCAAA